GGGCTGCATGCTCCAAACCACCCGTTAACAGATTCCCGTCCAGCCCGTGTCTGGGACTCAGGGAAAACTGACCAAACTGGGCAAGGCTCTGCCCCACAATCCTAGTGGTTGGGCTCATCTCAGATGAAAGCCAGGCTTACAAGAGGCCCTCAGAAAACAGTTTGTGATTGGGGGAGACGGACACTCTCCACTTGAACAGAGAGAAAGTGAAAGCCTGAGAGATCCAGTCCACACCACAGTAACCGCGGGTCAGCTTCGGAAAAGCGCCTCTCAGCCATGGAGTCAAATTATCAATGGGCGTTTGGCATCACTTACTGGGGAACCTGGGTCTTTTTGTGGCAGTAACCAATGTTCTTATCCATAAGGCTCTCACAGCTTAATTTTTTTTTGGGGGGGGGGATTCCCAGGCCTTTCTCCCCAGTCTGTCTCAGTGTGGAAGCTGCACTGAAACCTGTCCACCACGGGTGACCTGCTGGGCTTCCCAATGTCAGTGGCATAGCCTCCAGCCTCACAGCCACAGGCATGCGACCACCGAACGACACACTGATAGATGGGGTGGGGCACACACAGCAGCTGTGAGGATGGGCTCCAAGGTTGTGAGCATGGCTCAGGACCAGGCAGTGTTTTGTTCTGTTGTACAAGGGGACACCAGGAGTCATAGCCGACTCCACGGTGCCCAACCACCACGGTCACCAGTGTGCTTAGAACTGCTTTTTATTTCAAAATCTTCATCAAGAACAGAAATACCAAGTTAAACAAAATGAAATCAAAACGAATCATTTAATTGGAAAGGTTCTTTTCTCTCCTTTTGGGGTAGTGCTACTCTCATTTCAATATGAACAATAATGTAATATTAATATCAGTCAATAAAAACCTACTTAATATCAGCAGCCAGTAAGAATCTACTTAATATCAACCAATAAGAAGCTATATAATATCAACCAGTAAGAATCTACTTACTATCAGCCAATAAGAAGCTATTGAACATCAGCCATAAGAAGCTACTTAATATCAGCCAATAAGATGCTACTTAATATCAGCCAATAAGAATCTACTTAATATCAGCCAGTAATAATCTACTTAATATTAACCAATAAGAAGCTATATAATATCAGTAAGCCTCTACTTAATATCAGCCAATAAGAACCTACTTAATACCAGCCAATAAGAAGCTACTTATTATCAGCCAATAAGAATCTACTTAATGTCAACCGGTAAGAATCTACTTAATATCAGGCAGTAAGAATCTACTTGATATCAGCCAATAAGAAACTACTTATTATCAACCAATAAGAATCTACTTAATATCAACCAGTAAGAATCTACTTGATATCAGCCAATAAGAAGCTACTTGATATCATCCAATAAGAAGCTACTTGGTATCAGCCAATAAGAAGCTACTTGATATCATCCAATAAGAAGCTAGTTGGTATCAACCAATAAGAAGCTACTTGATATCGGCCAGTAAGAATCTACTTAATATCGACCAATAAGTATCTACTTAATATCGGCCAAAAGAAGCTACTTATTATCAGCCAATAAGAATCTATGTAATATCAGCCAGTAAGAAGCTACTTAATATCAGCCAGTAAGAATCTACTTAATATCAGCCAGTAAGAATCTA